GGTTTGGTGTCCCTTTGACTCCGTTTGGGTGAGTCAAAATAGGTTTCCCCACAAACTGATCTCAGCTTTTTAATGGGTGTTCTCGAAAGACACGCACCCATTTCCAGGAACCCACCCCGATCTTAAAGCATGTCATTTTGTGAGGGTGGCCTTATTGGGATGGTTTCTTCGGGGCGACCACCGCAACGCCAATTCGGAGGGTCCCATTTGAGGCAAACCGTTTCAAGCCAACAAACAACAAACAACACCAACACCAACAACAACGACGACGACGACGACGGCGGCGGCGGCGGCGGCGGAGGCGGCGACGGCGACGGCGACGGCGACGGCAACGGCAACGGCAACGGCAACCACAACCACAACCACAACCACAACCACAACCACAACCACAACAACAACAGCAGCAGCAGCAGCAACAACACCAACACCAACACCAACACCCACAACCACAACAACAGCAGCAGCAGCAGCAACAACAACAACAACAACACCAACACCACCAACACCACCAACACCAACAACAACAACAACGACAACGACAACGACAACCACCACAACAACAACAACAACAACAACAACAACAACAACAACAACAACAACAACAACAACAACAACAGCAGCAGCAGCAGCAACAACAACACCAACACCAACACCAACACCAACACCAACACCAACACCAACACCAACACCGCCAACACCAACAACCACAACAACACCAACACCACCACCACCAACAACAACAACAATAATCACAACAACGACAACAACAACAATAACAACAAGAACAACAATAACAAGAATAACAACAAGAACAACAATAACAACAAGAACAACAAGAGCAACAACAAGAAGAACAACAACAACAACAACAACAACAACAACAACAACAACAACAACAACAACAACAACAACAACAACAACGGTCCGACCGGTCGTCTGGCCGCGAACACCAACACCCCGCCCCTTGACAAGGAGCTTTTGCACTGCAAAAACCAATGCATTCTAACATCGCTGAATCCAAAGCAGGAGATTTCTCAGGACGCGATTTTACACAAAAACGGCGTCCCAAACACTACAGTTCCACACGAACACACTTTGCATGTTGCAAGAAAAACACAGTTCCAAAGCAGAGAAGACCAACTACATATGTAAAAAACCATGTAAAATCCAAACAGTCTATACATATATATACCCTCAAACTTTAGCAACTCAATATACATAATGTCACACAAAATCCAAATAGTCCATACACAGATATATACCCTCAAACTTTAGCAACTCTATATAAATAAAGTCATCTAAAATCCAAATAGCCTTTATATATATATATATCCCAAAACTTTACCACCTACATATATATAAAGCCGTGTAAAATCCAAATGGTCTATAGTGCCTGGCATGGATACAGTGGTCAGCGGGTGCGCTTGAACGTATACAGTGCTAAGCGGGTGCACTTGAACGGGTGTTCTTACCATGTGCCTGGCATGGATAAAGTGCTATGCGGGTGCACTTGAACGAGTGTTCTTACCATGTGCCTGGCATGGATACAGTGCTGAGCGGGTGCGCTTGAACGGGTGTTCTTACCATGTGCCTGGCATGGATACAGTGCTGAGCGGGTGCACTTGAACGGGTGTTCTTACCATGTGCCTGGCATGGATACAGTGCTGAGCGGGTGCACTTGAACGGTGTGTTGGCCCATGTGCCTGGCATGGATACAGTGCTGAGCGGGTGCACTTGAACGAGTGCTTCTTAACCATGTGCCTGGCATGGATACAGTGCTGAGCGGGTGCACTTGAACGGGTGTTCTTACCATGTGCCTGGCATGGATACAGTGCTGAGCGGGTGCACTTGAACGGGTGTTCTTACCATGTGCCTGGCATGGATACAGTGCTGAGCGGGTGCACTTGAACGGGTGTTCTTACCATGTGCCTGGCATGGATCAGTGCTACGGGTGCACTTGAACGGGTGTTCTTACCATGGATACAGTGCTGCGCGGGTGCACTTGCACGGGGGTGTTCTTACCATGTGCCTGGCAGTGGATACAACGTGTTCTGTGCGCTGGCTGCACTGAACGAGTGAGCGTGTGCCTGCACTTGAGCGGGTGTTCTTATGTGCCTGGCATGGATACAGTGCTGAGCGGGTGCACTTGAACGGGTGTTCTTATCATGTGCCTGGCATGGATACAGTGCCGGGTGCACTTGAACATGTGCCTGGCATGGATACAGTGCTGAGCGGGTGCACTTCAACGGGTGTTCTTACCATGTGCCTGGCATGGATACAGTGCTGAGCGGGTGCACTTGAACGGGTGTTCTTACCATGTGCCTGGCATGGATACAGTGCTGAGCGGGTGCTGCTGGCATGAACGCTGGTTGTGTTCTTACCATGTGCCTGGCATGGATACAGTGCTAAGCGGGTGCACTTGAACGAGTGTTCTTACCATGTGCCTGGCATGGATACAGTGCTGAGCGGGTGCACTTGAACGGGTGTTCTTACCATGTGCCTGGCACGGATACAGTGCTGAGCGGGTGCACTTGAACGGGTGTTCTTACCATGTTCCTGGCATGGACGCAGTGCTGAGCGGGTGCACTTGAACGGGTGTTCTTACCATGTTCCTGGCATGGAGGGTGCACTTGAACGGGTGTTCTTACCATGTGCCTGGCATGGATACAGCGCTAAGCGGGTGCACTTGAGCTCTGTGCGCGGGGAACCAATTTTGCATGATATTTACGGTGAATTGTGGGCGTTTCCGGTCTGTGCGCGGCACTGCCTCGATCTGTCGCGTTTTGCAGTGTTTTTTAAGCAGACAAGCAAGTCTGCATGGTATTTACAGTGAATTGGGAACGGGTCAAGCGCGGCTCAACGGCCGGTTTGAGGGAACAACAACAACAACAACAACAACAACAACAACAACAACAACAACAACAACAACAGCAACAGCAACAGCAACAGCAACAGCAACAGCAACAGCAACAACAACAACAACAACAACAACAACAACAACAACAACAACAACAACAACAACAACCAACAACAACAACAACAACAACAACAACAACAACAACAACAACAACAACAACAACAACAACAACAACAACAACAACAACAACAACAACAACAACAACAACAACAACAAGAACAACAACAACAACAACAACAACAACAACAACAACAACAACAACAACAACAACAACGACAACGACACACAACACAACGACAACGACAACGACAACAGCAACAACAACAACGACGACGACGACGACGACACGACGACAAACAACACGACGACGACAACAACGACAACAACAACAACAACAACAACAACAACAACAACAACAACAACAACAACAACAACCACAACCCACAACCACAACCACAACCACAACAACGACAACGACAACGACAACGACAACGACAACGACAACGACAACCACGACAACCACCACAACCACCACAACCACCACAACCACCACAACGACCACAACCACCACAACCACCACAACCACCACAACCACCACAACCACCACAACCACCACAACCACCACAACCACCACAACCACCACAACCACAACCACAACCACCAGCAACAGCAACAGCAGCAGCAACAGCAGCAGCAGCAGCACAGCACAACAACAACAACAAAACAACAACCAACACAACAACCAACACAAACAACAACAACCAACCACCCCCCCCCCCCCCGACCCGACCACACACACACACACGCAAGAGCAACACACACACACACGCAAGAGCAAAAAATAACTCAAACAGAATCGCCGCATCGCCCCAGCCGCGCCTCGCGCCTCGTGCCAGGCCGCTTCGCCGCGGAGGCCGGGTTGCCTGCCGCCCTCGCGGCGCTGTTGGCGCAGCTGCGAGGCGCGGCGTGCATGGCGTGGGGCGTGGCGCCTGTGGGGTGGGGTGGGACGTTTGGCCGAAATGGATAGAATCCCCCTGGACGGGGCCAGTGTGTGTGTGTGTGTGTGTGTGTTTGTGTGGGTGTGTGCCTGTGTGTGTGTTTTTGCTGTTGGTGCCCCTACAACGAGGTTGTTTTCAAGGGAAACCCAAGCACACCTTGTGTTGGGGGTCCTGATTTTAGACAGACCCAAAAACGCCAAGGCACCGGTGTGAGCTTTCTGACAACCCGGGTAGCAGCTTCATGGAACTTGATGCGGATCTCCGGGCTTTGGAGGGTCGAACCCCCCCCAGAAACTTTGAGCTTGTGGAGTCAGTGGCCACGACCGAGTCTGGTGAAATGCCTTGTAGGGAAGGCGATCAGCTCAGAGGTGTAGAGGGAAAATAGGTGGCTGTGGGTTACAACCAATGGAAACAGGTTGTAGGTGCACCACCCATTTGAAGCTGTATTTTAGTGGGGATGTTCACTGGGGGTACGGGCTTTTGACCCATGGCCAGGTAAGTTGGCAGAATCCCTCGCACCAATTTTCAAAGGGATCATTTTCTGTCAGGTTCCGTGCTAATTAGTGGGAGAGTAATGTCAACCCTGGATGAATTGTTAACAAAGCCCGGTCCTTTCACTTTGGTAGGTGACACCCCCAATTCGCCATAAAGACATTTTTGTCCGAGATACATCTCGCGCTTTCCAAGGCGTCATCGACGGCTTTGCAGAAATGAAAGTGACTGCACATCTGGGATTGCTACCGTGCTTGGGAAGTGTGGCCTTTTGGCTTGGGGCAAAAGCAGAAGCTATTGAGAACGGGGTCGTGGGATGACTCGGAGTTTATCCCCCACTTCTGTGATACAAGGGAATTTCCTTTTCATTTGGGGGGTTAGTCTTTGGGAAGCCCGTTCTGTTGTGTCACAGAAGTGGATCCCATTTCCCACAGTTCTGTGTGAGAAGCTGTGCAAAGTGTTCGCGCTTTTTCTCCCACCCTTCCCGCGGCCAGGTGGCGAATTCAAAGCGAGTGAAAAGCGAACCAACAGCTGATTAGTGCGGATCGAAGGTGGAGTATGGGTATCGTGATTCACCAAATCCATTCGCGCCACTTGGGATTGGTGGTTTATCCCAGCATATCCCAGTAATTACTCAAACTGGTTTATCCCAAGAGCTGGATTTAGTCCGTGCAGTGGATTTGCACCAAAAAAAATCGGCGGCTTCCATCGCCGAAACCAGAAAGGAGTGATCAGGGTTCTCATCCACATCTTCCTTTCAAGGGTTTCCTTTGGCTGGGTTCCTTTACTTGTTGGCGCCAGGCAGGGAATGAGACATGGAATGACCCCTTGAAAAATCATCCTAGTTGGTGGTGTCCTTTATTCGGGCACCGAAGCCTGAGTTCATTCCTCTCGTTCCCTAGCGATTTCGCACAGATCACAAGTGTAGCTCACTCCGAAGCCAGGGCAGCGGAGGCTCCAACAGAGAACCGCCAGGTTGCAAGGGGACCACCAGGTTGCAAGGGAGCGGAAGAAAATAATAATAATATATATATATATATATATATGTAACAACAAACAAAAAGAAAAACGTCCGCCGAGGCCGCTGGCGGCATGCTGGGTTTGGAGGCCATCGCCTGGACTTCCGAAGTTGGCTCGGACGAAGATTCGGAGGGTTTCCTCGTGTCTCGAGCGGCGTTTGGTTTTTGTGGGGTCCTTTTGAAGGGCTGGGGTGGGTTTTTGTTGAACATTCAATGTGTTGTCCTTGTGTTTGAGCAGTCAGGGGGTACACTGCTGAAGGGTTAATTTGGGAAACCCCCAGTTCAGACCTTCTGGGCCTTTTCCAAAATGAAATTCCTTTGGGGTGATGTTTAACGGGGACATGTATGTGGAACCGACGTTTCCGAAGCCCCGCAACATGGGCTTTTGGCTTCCCTCAAAAACGAACAACAAACGGTTTCCACGCAAACAACCCCCCCCCCCTGCTCCCCCCCGCTCCCCCCCGTTTTTGGCAGGTGCTAGGTACCACAAAAGCGAGGCCGCCCGATGGGCCCTTTGTCAGGTGGAGCACCTGGTGGCGGCGGAGGTGGGCCATGGATATGTCTCCAGGCGGATCGATGGTTCGCATGGTGGGTGAATTGGTCACTCCCTGAGCTCGTGGACTTGGGGATTGCTACCGTTGGGGAGTGTGGCCTCTTGGCTTGGGGTAAGAGCAGAAGTTATTGAAGAAAAGGGTGGTATTGGGAAAAAGGTGTGTCCCAAACACTTCTGTAGTCTTGGGAATCTCCAGCAATTTATGTGGGCGTTAGTCTTTGGGAAGCCCTTTTTGGTGTATCACAGAAGTAGATTCCATTTCCCACAGTCCTGATGTTGTTACTGAGTGAATTATAACGACCTCAAACGACATAAACCGCAAATGGTGGTTGATGTGGGGAATATCCCAATCAACCGCCTTGTTTCAGGTTGGTGAAATATGATAATTCACCCAGAACTGTTGGCGTCAAGCAGAAAGTTGTCAAAATTGTTCCGGCCAATCCACTCAGGCGTCGCTTTGTGGGCTGGGTTGCCATGTTAGCGATAAGCAGAACGCTTTTTTGTTCTTCTTCGGACTTGTTCTGGCCGATCCACTTCGGACGTGTTAGCCCGAATGGCTTGCCCCACGGGTAAATGGAAGCAGGACTAAAACCTGCGGTCAATATCCGGGTGGTTTGATTTTGATGCAGACTGAAGTTGTTTTTTCTTGAACATAGGTTGGTTTAGAGGGAAACCAAAAGACAGACCACCGGTTTTCGAGGGGCCCTCTATGTTTCACATAGCCTCACATGGTGCCAACTTTTGGACTTCAAAGTTTCCCTTGGGAAATCAACCGCTAGGTGCAAGCCTGCCTTTGCCATGGAAGGTGCTTCGAGTGCTGCCTCGCAGCGCACGCTATACGTTTTTGCGGCTTGCCACCGCCACCGCAGCCTGTCATCCTCTCCCATCTTGCCGGGCGATTTGTTTGGCGGAAATGTAGCCCGGAGATGTGGGAAATGGGCCGAAGTGTCTGCCTCAGGTCCATGCCTAGCCTTCCGAACTGCTGCCTCGAAGCAGGCAGTTGCTCAGCATGTTTTGCCTGTCAAGCCCCGCGAAAGTGGGGCCACGAGGTGACATCTCGTTCAAACGTCGGCAGGTGAAAAGACCCCAGTCAACAGGGATGATCATCAACCTGGTAGTAAGCTTCCTCAAGAACCATGATACTGCCATGACCGTGTTCCACACTAGGAGCTCTTGGTCATGGCGCTAGTATGATTTTGGTTTGCAAGTTTTACGGTTTTCGCAGCCCGCGAGTCCTTCTTGTTCCGGCTTCCAACGGCCTGTGGCTTCTCACCTTCCATTGGCGCCAGCTCGCTGACACCACGGGTTAGTAATCAGGGCTCCTTAAAAGATACATTTTGCCCATTTGAAACATGGCTTTTTCCACCCACAATAAATGGAAACCACAATTTTCAAGGCAATGTTCAGGTATGTAATGTAAGGAACCCTGGTAATGTCAAGTCCTAGAGCCAGGCTCTGGCAGTCGGAGAAGCCCTTGAGCGTGCTCCACGACGACGCGGGCACCCCGGGCCCCTCATGTGCCTCTTTGTTGCGGCGTTGGTGTCGACCCCATAGTGACTTACAACAAGTTTGGGCATTTTGTGGGCCAGGCATGTGCGACAGATATCCAGGATTCTGATGTTGGCCAAGCACTGAATATGCGTTGATTTGTGGGAGGACAGGGAAAAAACATTGCGTGGCGCCGCGCCCGTTTCCAGGGAACAGTCGCAGCAAGCGGGAGAAGAAAAAAGTTTCCCAACGGAACCTGCGTAGCTCGGAACGCGATGGTCAAATCTTGGGTTTGCGACACATTGTTGGGCCTTTTGTTCCGGGGAGACGAGCAATCTCAAAAGCTTATTTCCTGAGTTCATGGACGTTAGGCGCTTTTTGGGTGACCATTTTAGGCTACGCACAGTTCGATCGAGCGGCTTTTGCGGCTTTTTTTGGGGGGGAAGGGACTGCCAGGTGACGATTTTGGGACCTGTGCCACATTCCAATGATAAGCCGTTCAAAGTTTAGAGGTTGCCCGGGGCTCCCCAATTTGACGGGTTGGTTGTCATGGGCCAAACTGTAGGGGGGGGTCCTGCTTTGATGGGTTCGCCATGAATAGGAAGGCACCTACCGTGTGTTGGTTGCTTTTGGTTTTCATTAAGGTAGCTACCTTGAAACCCATTTCGAAAATCACTGGGCTTGCTTGGGCGATTTGCTTACAAGGGTAGTGACCCAACATGAATGGGCTCCAAACCCCTTTTCAGGTCGTGCTCTTTGATTCGGCCAAACAGTTTTTCAGCCATTGACCCCTACCCCTCCGTTGCCATGGCACCTGTCTCTTACAACCCAGACGCTCCCGATCAATTCAGGGCCCTCCAAACAGCCAGGTTTTGAGACCCCCAAACAATCCTGGGCTGTCTAATGGAGGGGTCGGGTCTTCCATGGAAAGCCCCAGGAGCCTCTGGGAAATTACTTATCCCAAGAAGGGTCCTTTGATCTAAGGCACTGTAACCCCTTCACCGAACCCGCGGGTACCAAAAACTGGCCGCAAGTGAGGTGAGGCCCTGGATCTTCCATGCGCCGAACCTTCCAGTGACGCCCGCTGGCTGCCTTCAGTCCAACTTTCGGGGGGTGGGTCTGGCATTTGTGTTCTTTTTGGGAGGGGGAGGGGGGGTCTCTGGAATTTGTGTGCGTGTGTGTTTTTTTTGGGGGGGGTCTGGCATTTGTGTTCTTTTTGGGAGAGGGGAGACAGGGGGGGGAAGGGGGAGAGGGGGAGGGAGGGAGGGGTGACGCAAATCTCCGATGTTGCTTGGAGTTCTGCTTCGGTTTGGCAGAGGTCTCTGTGTCCTGGCCACAATGGGCCGCCTGCCGACTTTGGAAGCCGACCGCCTTGTCTTTTTTGACTTGACCAGGGCTGTGGGATCAAGAAAGGTTTGTCCAACCACTTCCGTGATACTTTGGGAATCCCCCTTTATGCGGGGGTTGGTCTTTGGAAAGTGCTTTCTGGTGTATCACAGCACTGGATTCCATGTCCCACAGCCCTGGACTAAAGGATGTGAGGCCATCGTGCACCGACCTTGGGTTGCACTAGGCTTGCATGGACGAGAGCGCCAACTTCACACACACACACACTCATGTACATAATTGCACACGCACACGCGGTAACGCAAGCACGCTCGCGCAGATTATATAATCTATGAATATGACTATATACAATTACGAACATGCAACTATGAATGTAGACATACGCCACCATGCAGAGCCGGGATGTGTTAAATATGTATGTACAGTGATATCGTTGTAGACCTTTGCATGGATAATTATTGCAGATACACAGTATACATAGCACTCATGTGTGCATGCAAACGTACATTGTGCACGTTAACATTTGGATGGTGCCATGGGTTGTTATGTTTCTCCCGTCTCTATCAGGAACACATTGCGTTGGGGGCCTAGTGTGCTTTGCATTAACTCAGATCCGCTTGGCCACGTCTCGCGTTTTGCTTTCTGGTGCAACGCAACCGCGACTTTCCGCGAGTCTTTCTAGGCGCGGCAGGCCCTGACATAACTGACATATTTTCTGCTGCACATGAGCACAAAGAAGTCGAATTGAGGCCTATTCCAGGAAATGAATGTGATACGTGTTTGTTTTTCTTGCCAGACAAAGGATCAAAACGAAATACATTCACACCCGCGCGTTCACATTTTCGCGTAGACATGTCATGCACACATTTGAAGATGCATCCACACGCTTCCCCAGCAAGTCCGTAGCTGGTACCTGGCTGTGAAATGTTCGTCCTTGCGGGGGGGGGGGAAAGATAAAGATTTCCTTCTCTTTGCAATATGGCGGAAAGGTGCATCCGCAAAGTGTTGGATGAAGTTTGTCACAATCCTTCTTGGGCAATTCCCAACCTCGCAAAGGGACTTGGCGTGCGATCTCCACGGAGGTTCCTTCTTCCAGCGAGTTCCAAATTGGCCCACTTTCCAACAGCGAGTTTTTGCGACCTCACGGCTTCCAGATTGCTGTTGTGGTGATTGTGGTTGTGGCTGT